CCGTCCCCAGGGATGGAGTTCGATCAAGCCAGCCTGGACCAACGGTGCTGAGTGCAGGGACAGGCTTTGGCTGTGCCCACGTTTCCCTTCGCCTGGGAGCATCGGCCCCGGTGTGAAGTGAGGGTGCCAGGAGTGATCCTGGCTGCCGCCACCTGACAAGCAGCTCCTCGGGGCGAGGACAGGCTGCCCACAGAGCATGGGCGTTCCTTGTCTGTGTCTGCAGATCTGCCCTGGCAGCCTCAGCCTTGCACTGTTAAATGCGAGGCAGATCTCTAATCACCTAACCGCTTTCAGAGCACAGGCGTTTGCAAACACAATCCCTCTTCCTCGGCCTGGCAGCTCCAAGAGCTGTCCGTGCCTGTATTCCAGGGAGGAAGGTTTGCCGTGTTTTTGCCTTTTAGACCCCACGGCTCCCCAGGCTACGTGCAGGCAAGGGGGCAGGATGCTGCCCGGGGATCCCGCTGCACAGAGCCTGCTGTTTGTGGGCAGGACTCGGCGCTGGACACGACCTCCGCTTGCTCCGCACCATGGCAAACAGCACATGGGTAGGGGTAGCAGTTCAAGGATCTTGACCTGAACTTTCTCGAGGAGGGAGATAAGTGATGCATTTTCACTGGCTGCTAATCATTAACGCCTGGTTGCCTGTTCCCCCATGCAGGGGCAGCTGCCTGTTTTGCTGTGGCGGGCTCTGGCTGGGCCCCCTGCGCCGCTGCCACAGGGCTGCATGTCTGTGCGCCAGCAACCGTGATGGCTGGCCAGAGCTGGGGAAGGAGGTTTCTCCTGCCAGGCTGACCATGTGTCCTCAGGCTCCTGGAAATAGCTCTCCATGTTACTCGTTCACCGTTACCTCCCGAGGAGGAACAGGACGATAAAGCTGCGGTGCCAGCACTGCTGCCAGTGACAGCACAGTGTGGCCGGGGTGGAGAAAGGACACAGGCAGGGACCTGGCACCGGTGGGACAAGTGGTGTGTTCGGCTCTGTCCCCGCAGCCGGGGTCTGATGGGGCAGTTTTGTGCAGGAGGGGGTTAACCCAGGGGAGCTGTGCTGGGAGGAATGCCTTCCCTCCTAGGGGACCTTATTTGCAAAGGTCCTTTAACCCCACACCAGAGATCAGAAAAACATCGCTGGCAGCCAGGAGCTCCTCAAGCCTCGCTGTCTGAGGCTGCGGGGAGCTCCAGAAACGGCTTGGAAAGTTTCCCATTACGCAGAGTCCTGGTTAAATCAGCCTGGCGAACGCCATGGCAGCAAGGTGTTTTTTCATCAGCTGGAGGTTTCAGCTGATGTGGGGGTGGTGGGCAGCCTGCCCCCCACACCACACAAGACCCAGTCCACGCTCCTGGGCATCCCTGCGATGCTCCGGTGGTGCTTGGGGTGATGGCAGAGGGATGGGAGAAATGTCACAGCTCGGGGCTGCGGCAGTTCTGCAGTGCTGTTCACACAGCGTGGGGGTGCTTGAATCTCCTCCCTGATAACAGAGCAAATGCTGGGGTTCAGTAGAGGCAGCTGAACTGTTGTATTGGGCAGCAGGAGGAGCAGGGGCTGCAGGATCCCACTGAGTGAGGCAGCTGCCTGTGCACTGCAGGGAGGGGACAGTGTGGGGAAGGGTCAAGGTGCTGGTGCTGGAGCACCCCGTGCTCCATGCGGCTCCATGCGCCCTCGAAGCCTGTTTTTCCTTTTTACGTAAGTTGTTCCAAACATGTTTGTAACAACCCCCCGGTGATGCACCTTTGGCAAAAGTGGTTTTGGGTCCAAAGATCAGTGCTGGGACAAGTGACCTGCCCGCGGCAAACAAGAGGCCACAGAGTATAAAACCCCGGCGGTGCGGTGGAGCGCAGGACAGCCTGAGCCGTGCCGAGGGGCAGTGGCTGCAGAGGAGGATGGAGGCCGGGATGAACCTCCTGCACGAC